GTGCCATGCTCCAAATCCTTCTCCATTCTTCTCTCTGGATTTTGGGCGCGCGCGTACACACACACACACACACACACACACACACACACACGCCCCGCATGCGTTTTAAGCCACCAGAGCCAGGCCTTGAACTGCAGTTGACTAGCTGGCAGTCCAGCAACATAATCATCATGCCATCCCCTGGTCCCTCACCTGTTTTAATTTTATATTCTGCCCCCCTTATTAGGGTACTTCCCGTTGTTGCCATGGTTATCCAAACTGTCAAGGCGCGGGTGGGCGTGGCATCTAATATGCTAATACCTACGGCCAGTGGGCCAATGAGCGTATGGGCGCGGCGGCGGCTGGCCACAGGCGGCGGGCGCCATCTTGGTTCTGACTGGCTCAGACACAGCCTCTCAGCCACACCCTGTATGTCAGAGTTCAGGTGTTTGGAATGTCCCCATGTCAGAGTTCAGGTGTTTGGAATGTCCCCCTGTCAGAGTTCAGGTGTTTGGAATGTCCCTCACCTCACTTCCCTCCTCTCATTCCTCCCTCGGAGGTTTTGCTTCCCACTCGTCAGGAGTCGTCGAAGCAAAGGAGGTCTGTCTTCTGAAGCTGGTAAGCGAACCGTTCAGAGCTGGAGTTGGATTTGGGGGCACTAACGTCTATTGTGTATTCGTACATTGACAGAGTTAGCTGACAGAAACGCTGGGAACCATTTCCTGTAACTTTGCCTACGGGGACCTTGAGAGAGAAACTGACGTTAGTGCCAGCTGTGGGTCACAACCAGCGGGAATGGTCTCTCCTCAGATCTGGGCTAGCTCCTCCCCGAGTCCTCTTGGGTCATTTGGGACGATGAGACAAACAGGTACTCTTGGTTCCCTGGGGCCATTCCTTTTCTTTCTTTCTTTCTTTCTTTCTTTCTTTCTTTCTTTCTTTCTTTCTTTCTTTCTTTCTTTCTTTCTTTCTTTCTTTCCTTCCTTCCTTCCTTCCTTCCTTCCTTTCTTCCTTCCTCCCTCACATCTTTCCAT